ATGAAGATAAAATAGAGATAGAGAAATCTGAGAAATAAGAAGATTGGACGAAAGAAGAAGAAGAAGAAGAAGTCAAGTGGAGGAAAAGGAAGAGGAGAAGCGAAGGTTTAAAAGGAAAAGGTATTAAATTTAAAGAGAGAAAGACTAAATGATAAGAAGAAGAAGAAGAAGAAGAAGAAGAAGAAGAAGGAGGAGGAGGAGAAGAAGAAAGCACACGAACGTCAAGACGAAAAAGAAAAAACGGATGAAATACAAAAAGGAGAAAAAGTTAGAAAATTTAGAACGCAGCAAAAAATAAATAAAAATAAAAAAAGAAGAAAGCCAGGGAAGAAAAAGAAGAAGAAGAAGAAGAAGAAGAAGAAGAAGAAGAAAAGGAAGAAGAAGAAGAAGAAGAACCAGGAAAAAGAAACAAGGAGATGAAGAAAAACAATAAGAAAAAGAAAAAGAATGAAGAAGAAACAAGAAGAAAAAATTTAGAAATTCAAGGAGAAAGAAGAAAAACAAAACTAAGAAAAGCAAATTGGAATAAAAAAAGATGATTAAAAATTGAAAGAAAAAGAAAAAAAAAAAGAAAAGAGGAAAAATTTAAGAAGAAACATTCACATTAAGATTAGGAATATAAATTGAACGGAAAGAAGTTTTTTCATCATGACAGCATTTTCCATCTTCCTATGAGAATAACAATGGATGAGGCCACCCGGTGCGTATGTCTGCTAGAAAGAAGCGTGGAAACATACTTAATTATAACGGAAAGGAGACATATCATAAATTGGAAATAAAAAATGATGAGAGATGTTCATCGTTTAGCAGTCCATTCTATTAAATAATTACTACCGTAGTGAGTTATCATCAAATATGTAAAAATAGAAAGGGCTGTAAGACAATGGTGAGTCTTCTCACCAGACCTACAGTCTCGTGCAAGTTAATTGAAACAAAACGAATAATTCCATTATCATTTCATTTTTTTTTTTTTCATATTTTTCCAATGAAAAATGATCCAGTTCACATGTTAGTACTTCGTATGTCCATTCCACGAAATCGTTCCTTGCAGATTGACCACGGACTCTCGATTGGATTTAAATCAGGAGAGTTTCCGGGTCAGTCGATAGTATTTTGATTTGTTCACTGGTAAGGCTTGCCAGTGTGTTTGTACACCGTCCCAAAAACTAATTTCTGTCGTCTGTACTATGACATGCTTATATGGCATTATCCAAGTAATTCAGTTCAGTCAATCCTCTATGGTATGAATCCATTTCTTCAAACCCAGCTATGATTTAAATAGCAACAAATAATGTATTTTTTCTATCCATTGCAACCATTCAAGGAGAAGGGCAACTTTGAATTGAAGACCGCGTAAATGAATCCAATGAACTCAACTGGAATTCGATCTCTGTTCTCCGATTGCCCATTTCGAAACAACAACGACTAAAAGACAATGAAAAAATCCAGTTGAAGGAACCTATCCACGATTGACCATGTCTACAGGGTTTGTAATCGTACACACCACGCTTGTCGGTTGGTGAGGCTATTTAAGCCAGAGTTTGTGAGGGGACGCCGGTGAGAGCTGGTTTGAACACCGACGACTCGACAGCTCAGATTTTAAATTCAAAGTTGTCCTTCTCCTAGACAGGTTTGCCAGCCAAGTCTATAGGACCCAGTCTGTTCTGCTATTTGTCCATAGCTAATTTGAGGGAGGAGGGATCGATTCACACCTTTCCCAAGGGTATTTGTGTATAAGTGAATGTAATGAATTCGACTGGAATTCGAACTCAGCTCTCCGATTTCTAATTCCGAGCCGTTATCCATTATATCATCCGCTCATCCATTTTTATCCAAGACTTTAACCTGGAAAAATGTATCGCGAATCGTTTTCCGACCATTACTCGCGAAGATGGCTACCGAACTTCCGTTCATCCGTCCTTGTCACAGGGATGAAGCCGTTGGCCATTTGAAGGACTATCATCAAGTTGACTAAGTAATCCCATTTATTCCAGTTTGGAAATAAGAGTGACCCTTCCCCTAGACAGACTGCCAAACATAGATAACGTCTATAAGCTTGAGACGTTTGTCTGGAAAATGTTCATCAGTGGGTTGCGAATCGTTCTCCGAGCATTACTCGGGAAGATGGCTACCGAACTGCCGCTCATCTGTCCTCGTCACAAGCATGAAGCCATTGGCCAGTTGAAGGAGTGTCTTCAAGTTGACTAAGGAATCCCATCTATTCTGATTTTAAAATCAGAATGGCCTTTCTCCTAGGCAGACTGCCAACCATAGATAACGTCGATAAGCTTGTGACGTCTCCTCTGTGAAAAAGGGATTGCAAACTAGAAAATAATTCGCCAGCTACCAGTATGCGGAGACGATTTTGGAGCCTGCTGTTAATATAATGTAATGTACCTCTTTCAGTTAAGTCTGTAATTATTTCTCGGTATAAATAATACATTACTTGTACACAAAATAATTTAAATCACAATTTCCATCGAAAAAAAAAATGCTGTACTTATTAAAAGAAAAAAAAATGACTAACGAAGACGAAAATCTCTTGAATGTTTAATTACTGAATCTTACCAAATGGTTAACTTACGTCTAAGAAGTTTCCAAGTATCTCCTTTCTTAAAAGAACTGTTTTTTTTTTCTGAACCGTACATAAATATGTATGACCATAATTTTTTTTTAAAAATAAGGAAAAAAAGGTTTACTGTTGACGTTTATGAATAAATTAAAGAAATAAACTAAATACGATAAAATTAAATAAACATATAATAAATTAAACCAAATATGATAAAATAAAATAAATATCCAATAAAATAATTATATAATAAAATAAACTGTATACGATAAACTAAAATACAGATATGATAAAAGAAACCAAATACAATAAAATGAAATAAACATGTAATAAAATAAGCCAAATATGATAAAATAAAATAAACATATAATAAAATAAAAACTATATAATAAAATAAAAAACTATATAATAAAATAAAAACAAGCTAAATACAATAAAATAAACATGTAATAAAATAAGCATATAATAAAATAAAAACTATATAATAAAATAAAAACTATATAATAAAATAAAAACAAGCTAAATACAATAAAATAAACATGTAATAAAATAAGCATATAATAAAATAAAAACTATATAATAAAATAAAAAACTATATATAATAAAATAAAAACAAGCTAAATACAATAAAATAAACATGTAATAAAATAAGCATATAATAAAATAAAAACTATATAATAAAATAAAAACTATATAATAAAATAAAAACAAGCTAAATACAATAAAATAAACATGTAATAAAATAAGCATATAATAAAAAAAAAACTAAATACTATAAACTAAAATAGAGATATGATAAAATAAACATATAATAAAATAAACCAAATACAATAAAATAAAATAAACATATAATAAATTAAACATATAATAAGCCAAATACAATAAAAATAAAATAAACATATAATAAAATAAACCAAATGCAATAACATAAAATAAACATATAATAAAATAAACTAAATCCGATAAAATAAAATAAAACATAAATTAAAATAGCATATAATAAAATAAAATAAACATATAATGAAATAAACATATAATAAAATAAACCAAATACAATAAAATAAAATAAACATCCAATAAAATAAAATAAAATACAGATATGATAAAATAAACCAATACAATAAAATAAACCAATACAATAAAATAAAATAAACATAATAAAATAAACCAAATGCAATAACATAAATTAAACATATAATGAAATAAACATATAAAAAATAAACTAAATACGATAAAATAAAATAAACATAAATTAAAATAGCATATAATAAAAGAAAATAAGCATATAAGGAAATAAACATATAATGAAATTAACATATATTAAAATAAACCAAATACAATAAAATAAAATAAACATCCAATAAAATAAGCATATAATAAAATAAACTAAATACGATAAAGTAAAATAAACACATAATAAAATTAAATAAATATTAATTACATTAAAAAAATAAATAATAGCAACAACAACATTTACTAACTTCCGTTTAATCGGCCCAAAATATCCTATTTTCTTTTTGTCTGAAATTCTGGATTGGCGATTTATCCTTATCTGCACGATTTGCATTCAGACTATTGTCCTCATCTTTTCACCCCGATGTTTCCGGGGAAGAGGATTCCTAAAAGGAATGTTGTTAGGACGTATAGGGAGAGAGCAGGTGTTACATATTATGAGGATATGTAGGATAGATAACGGTTGAAGCTAGACTTGAAGAGCTTAAGATTATAGTGGTCAGGGAAGCATCCCCACGGGATTCGGTTACACACGGTATTAGTTTAGGGAAAAAAAGCAGTCTGAATGGAATTTACTCCTTCTCAATCGGTTGTGAAGAGAATGGGGATAAGTCTACGTGGAATGGCGGTGTAAACCAAGGAATGTAGTGTGGCTAGCAAATCCTTGTTGCAGACGCCTGCTCAGGCACATTTTTGTTTCTTTCAACTCTGACAGTTTCTGGGAGAAAACGCATACTCTGGTGGGATCAGCCGTTTTATTTTGTTTCTTTTGATGGAATCTCCTTGGGCAAAGCTTCTCAAATTCAGACAAGCAAATTCTTCCCAAGAAGCAGTGACCAAAATAAATTATAACTCGGCTCGCAGATTCCATTTTAACTTACGCAACTATCTCACACTTCTACAAGAGAGAAAGAGAGGGTTAGAGTGAGAGAAAGAGAGAAATAGAGAGGGGGAGAGAGATGAAGAGAGACGGCTAGAAAAAGAGAGAGAAAGTGCGATACGGCTACAGAGATATCGAAAGAGAGAGCTAGAAAGAGAGAGCTAGAGAAAAAAGAGATAGGGTGAAAGAGAGTGCTAGAGAGAGATAAAGAAATAGAGATAGATAGAAGGTTTTAGAGAAAGAAAGGAAAAGATAGAAACAGAGAGAGTGAGAGAGTTAGAGAGAGAGAACGCTAGAGAGTGAGAGAAAGAGAGAGGTCTAAAGAGAGAGAGCTAGAGAGAGAGTGCTATATAAAGAAAGAAAGTGAGAGAAAAGGCTAAAGAAAGAAAGAAAGAAAGAAAAAAAGAAAGAAAGAAAGAAAGAAAGAAAAAAAGAAAGAAAGAAAGAAAGAAAAAGAAAGAGATGGAAACAGAGCGATTGTGAGAGAGGGTTAGAAAGAAAGAGAAAGGGGGCTAGAGAGAGAGAAAGAGAGTGATGGTTAGAAAGAGAGAAAGAAAGAGAGTTGGATAGAGCTAGAGAGAGAGAAAAAAGAAGAAAGGCTAGAGAAAAATGAGAAAGTGAGAAAATAGAGAGGGAAGGAATGCGACTAGGTGAGAGAGAGAGAAAGAGAGAGAGAGACAGAGAGACAGAGACAGAGTGACCGATTGAGAGAGGGCTAGAATTGTTGTGCTTGTCAGCAAGATGAACCGCCAGGAATATTTTTGCTTGCGTTTATGGTGACAAGTCTTTTTTTTATGCTTCAAGTTTTCCTTTCATATTCGAGGCGATAATATCTGAAAAAGCTTGATACGCCATTTGGGCCCCTGACATGTTTCAAAGGTCGAACTCGTCTGATGGCGCCAACCTTTTTCATCCAGTCGCTCTTGTCTGACTGTTTGTCTTTGCTAAATCAACCGTGGTCTTATTTAACGACAACGCCATCAAAGACTATCAGCTTAAACATTCAATGGACTTCACTCACACCACACACACACACACACACACATATATATATATAGAGATATATATATGTTGCATGACACTTGTATTTGAGGATGCCCGTCTAGTAGGGCGGCTAGCCAATCCCTATCGCAGACGCTTACTCAGACGTATTTGTGTTTGTTCAAAACCCACAGAGACCACCTGCATCTATGCTGAACAGACCTTAGTTGCAGTTTCCGGGAGAGAGAGCGTGCAATCTAGCGTGGTCAACAATTTGAACAAGGCTAGCACGCTCAAAAACCCTCGGCCACAGTGACTTGTGATTTCGTGCTAGCACAGTTATCCACGGGTCAAAAGGTGCCGCGCGCTGGGATCGAGCCCTCCAGTTCAATAACATCAGGAAGTCACCTTCCTGAAATTCGAACCTGTATCTTATACGGAACCGTCATTTAGCTTGACGTGCCTTTACCGAATTAGCCACAAAGGAGCGTTCGGTTAGCATGGTGGAATTTACTGTATTTAAAATTCAATCTTCCATGAATCTCTCATGTACATCCATGTCTGCTCATCAATGTAAACAAATGACGTCACAATTATATATATATATATATATATATATATATATATATATATATATATATATATATTATATCTGTCCTTGACATTGAATTCTACCTGATTGTATCCTCTTGGGAATTCATATATATATATATATATATATATATATATATATATATACAGAGTAACTCAAAGAGTTTGCAAATACTGTTATTTTGCATTTTCTCTAATATATTATGCTTTTATGGATAAAAGCTGAATATTTTAATTCCTTGCTGTTCGTCCATTATCCAAAATTTTACACCTTTGAATAAATTACGAAAATTAGCTTTATGTGTGGTTTTCTTATTAATTAAGGAAAATTTTAGTAATTAAGGAAATAATACCGACTCAAATATTTTGGAAAACTTTAATTTCAATGCAAAAAATTAGTCCTGTTCAAATCAAAAGATGTATTATACATTACATACCAATGAAAGTTCGTATGGCTTTGTTTACATATCACTGTATGAAAACACATTAATATTTAATTTTTCGACCATCATTCTTAAGAAGCTCAGTAAGTCGTTTATTGACTGATGAAGTGAGTTTTCTGGCTGTAATTTTAGAACAAACATCCAAAATGCACTTCTACAGATGATCCTTGTTAGAAAATTGCCGTCCATTTTCATAAACTCGACGCTTGACCACAGCCCAAATGTTCTCAATAGGGTTTAAATCGGGACTTTGTGGTGACAATACCATAATCTTGTCCCATGTAAAATCTTTATTTGTCAACCACTCTTTGGTGAAGCGTGCAGTATGCCTGGAGGCATTATTGATAAACAAGATTACTACGGAACTCATCATTTTGTGAATTTAACCAGGGTATGAAATTTTCTTTTAAAAATTGGCAATAATTAGCTGAATTTTGTTTGAGTCTTTCTGGCCCAAGAAATGGTCCAATTAATGTCGAACCACAAATTCCAGCCCTACACTATCAAACAGATCAGCAGCTACACTTACCTTCTGTGTCACAATATGCACCTAATCCAACAAAATTATGACGGTTACTCGTATTTGTATACATAAAATATTTTTTGTAGATAAAGGACAGAAGCTGCCTATAGATACAGAATGGCCCAAGATTGACATCATTTAAAATGTGAATATGTGAGTGACTACATGTTCCAGACAAACGAAATGAAATAGGCTTCATGTTTAACAAGAAAATATTTATATATCAAAATTCGAACAAGATCTTCAAGTGGATCTAGATTTTATAACCGATTTCAAAAATATTCACAAATGTTTAAAACACACACCATCTGTGACACGACATACGTGAAATCGGTAGTCCAGCTCTTGTCAAACACGTTGTAGCATATCTTGCGTAACATTCTCCAACGCCTTACTGCAGACTTATATCAATGAGAATCTAACAGAAAGATGGATCTCACGTACCAGTGATAATGACAAAGTGCTGTTGGAATTGCTACCACATTCACCTGAGTTGATACCTTATGAATTTCTTTTTCTATGGGACTGAGTGCACAGGTCTATATATGTTTTCTTCTCACAAGCCTTGAGGAAATTAAGAGGAGAATAACTGTAGCTCTGGAGAATGTTACGCAAGCTATGCTACAGCGTATTTAGCAGGAGCTGGGCTACCGATTTAACGTCTGTCGTGTCACAGATGGTACGCATATTGAACATCTGTGAAGGTCTGTGGCTTTTCTATAAATACTTTCATGATAATTGTTTGAATTAATTCTTCGTTATTGTAGCTAGACTTTATGGATTTAAGCGCAGTACTAGATTGCCGGTAAGGTCTCATCAAGTAATAGTTAAATGTGTTAGATATAACCGTAGGTTCTATGCTAAGGTTTCCTTTACTTGTTCTTCCGTGTTCCATGCTTTCCAGACAGTGTATTGTTAATTGTTATCTACTGTTCTCCTGATTACTCATCTGATGTTATCACGGCGCGTCTGTGAGAGTGTGACTGTAGACGAGATGCCAGATCAGGGCCAATTATATTACATATCCGTCTCTGGATCTTGTCAAGAACTCCAAGGTAAACAGAAGGTGCCCCAGACCGTATATGGCAGCAATACTCCATGCAAGGGCGAATGGTTGATTTGTATATTTGAAGTATCGATTCAGGGGAGAAAAATTTCCTGGCGCAACACAGAGAGCCAACTTTCCTCGCGGTGGAAGAAGCAATTGACTCAATGTATTTGTTCCATCTCAGGTCAGCAGTCAACGTGAGACCGAGCATACGCAGGGAGTTGCTCTCAAGAAGTTGACTGTCAGACATTCTAATGGGGGGCAGGGAAGGATCTCTATGGTGATTAATAGAGAGTAGTTTAGTTTTTTTTGAGGCGTTAAAGGTGACCAGCCAATTCTTGCCCCAATTAACAACCGATTGGAGGTCCATTTTTTTTCAAGACTTCACTGTTCTTTTGTTTACCTATTTCCCTGTAAAATTTTCACGGTCAGGTTAGTTTTGTCACCGACACTAGATTTGTTTTTGAGGCAGGAGTAAATTGTAGTGTCGTCCGCGTAGATGCCAACTTGGGATTGTAAACATACAAGATGGACTCTGACGTGAAAACATTTCTGGCACGACACAGCGACCCAATTCGCCTTGGAGTCGATGCAGCTATTGATACGATGTAGTCGCTCTACTTTAAGTCAATTGAAAATATGAGGCCAAGAAGGCACAGTGTTTTGTTCTCCTGGAGTCTAGTGTCAGCCATGTTAATGGCAGACAGAAAAAGGTTTTCTATGGTGGTTAAATGAGAACAGTTTTGTTTTCAAAGAAATCAAAATCCATGGTTTTTTTTTTATTTCTTGCCTTCAGGCTTCCCGTATGATTTGGACATTTTAAAAATCACAATCTTACGTAACTTATTTTATCTGCGGTTTACGTGAAGTTTACTATCGATGGTCATGAAGTCCAAACTTGATCGTGTCCAGCGCGCAAATTACTGGAACAACGAAAAAATTTAAAGAAACAGCTTCAACGAAACAAAAACATCACTACACTAGATTTTATATTAAATTTTAATGTCTCGTCTCTGCTTTGCGACATTCTCTAAACCTTAATCTCCACATGCCGATTTTCCTAATCCTATTCACTTCTTTTTTGAGAGGATTTCCAGCGTATAGGATCGCGAGAAAGCAGATCTTTGTCTTCTTACCATGAGCGACGTTTTAGGCTCACTCGGCTCCAGCAGACATTATTATTATTATTATTATTATTATTATTATTATTATTATTATTATTTTTTATTATCATTATTATTATTATTATTATCATTATTATTATTATCATTATTTTATTATTATTATCATTATTATTATTATTATTATTATTATTATCATTATTATTATCATTATTATTATTATCATTATTATTATTATTATTATTTTTTATTATCATTATTATTATTATTATTATCATTATTATTATTATCATTATTTTTATTATTATTATCATTATTATTATTATTATTATTATTATCATTATTATTATCATTATTATTATTATTATTATTATTATTATTATTATTTTTTATTATCATTATTATTGTTATTATTATTATTTATTATTATTATTATTATTTTTATTATCATTATTATTATTATTATCATTATTATTATCATTATTATTGCTGTCGCAAAGTCTTAGTGCTTATTATTATCATTACAATTGGAATTCAACCAGACATTCTATCATTCTGATTAATTGTATTAGCAATATTAGTATTACTAGTACAAAGTGAGTATGATTACTAGAGTCTGCTGAAAAGTTCTCGGCCTGACCAACTTTCCAAAATCTAATTAAATAATCAAGAATCAGATATATATGATAATATATATTTTCTAAACTTTTCTTTGTCAGGCTGAGGACTTTTCTTTAACCTATCGTAGTTGTATGAATATTCCTAGTTATTTAAATTTTCATTCGAGTAATTCTACCTTTCCGTAAATATCAAAACTTAAATATTTCACAATGCAACAGAGGAAATTCCATGGGTATTTTATGGCTGTAGAAAAAGAGATTATGCAATTATTAACTTAAGAATTAAGATTCATCGGAAAAATCAAATAGCAAAACTCTGAAATTGTCACGGGATAAAACAAATTAAACATTCTTCTTCTTCTTCTTTTTCTTCTTCTTCTTCTTCTTCTTCTTCTTTTTCTTCTTCTTCTTCATCTTCTTCTTCTTCTTCTTCTTCTTCTTATTATTATTATTATTATTATTATTATTATTATTATTATCGTTTATCTCTCGAAATTCTACCCTTTCATTCTACTATATCTAAAAATAAACATTTGTCATTCACTGACGGAGCAGCTAGTTCTGTTTCCAGTTAAAATTTATGAAATCTTTCGCTTAAAACAAGTTTTCAGGAGAATAGGGTTCTCAAGTCCAGTTGCTGTTATCGATCTTTCCAGTATAGATGGAGGCTACCTTCCTAACCTTTTCAGGAAAATAGGTTTCTCAAGTCCAGTAGCTGTTATCACTCTTCCCAGTATAGATGGAGGCTACCTTCTTAATCTTTTCAAAAAAATAGGTTTCTCAAGTCCCGTAGCTGTTATCGCTCTTTCCAGTATAGATGGTGGCTACCTTCCTAACCTCTTCAGGAAAATAGGTTTCTCAAGTCCAGTAGCTGTTATCACTCTTCCCAGTATAGATGGAGGCTACCTTCCTACATTTTTCAGCAAAATTGGCTTGTTAAATCTAGTTGTTGAATAAAAATAAGAAAGGAAAATATAAAATAATTGAAATGTAAATTACAAAGCACGGAAATAAACAGAAAAGTAAGAAAGAAAGGGGTAAACAGAAAGGAAAGAGGAAAGAAAGAAAAAGAAAAATATATCTATATGAAGCGTATAGAGGAAAATAATAAAGAAAGAAAGAAAAGAGAAAAGAAAGTAGAATGATAAAGATAAAAGACAGAAAGAGGAAAGAAACAAGGATTGAAAAAAAGAATGAAGAAATGAGATGGTTAAAAAGAATATTTCAGACTTCCGAAAAATAAGACAGAGGGAAAATAGAAGCCAGAAGGATGAGAAAGAAGGGGAAATAATGCATTCAAAGAAAGAAAGAAAGAAAGAAACGAAGCGAAGCGAAACAAGAAGGAGAGTGAGAAAGAAAGAAAAAAAAAGCAAGAAAGAAAAGAACAAAGAAAGGGAGAAAAAAAACAAAGAAATAATAAAGAATGAAAGAGAATGAATGAACGAATGAATGAAAGAAAAAAAGCAAGATCGAAAGGATGAAAAAGCTAAGAAACAAGAAATAAAAGAAAAAGCAAGGAAGAAAGGAAGAAAGAAAGCAAAGAAACAAGAAAGAACGAAAGAAAACAAGAAAGAAAGGGAGAAAAAAAACAAGGAAACAAAAAGAAAGAAAAAAGAAAGAAAAAAGCAATGAAGCAAGCAAGAAAGAAAGAAAGAAAGAAAGCAATACAAAGAAAGAAAGGTAAATACTTATCTTCATTCAAAATTTCTCATTGAATAATATAGACATATTTGTCTACTTATGTTTTTTACTGATCCTTTCTAGTTGTCTAAATCTGTTCCTTGATGTTAAGATGAAATTCATCAAAGAAGACGCCATAGTTTTTCTTTATTTTTTTTTAAACCAAGTCCTTTCGACCTTTTCTAAGATCAACATCAAGGGTGAATTACAATGACAAACTTATTGTAAGTGCGGTAAAATCTGCATTCCGTTGTGTTGATGATTTTTAAAAACACACGCCACCATGTTGCTATGGCTACAAAATAATTGTTTAATCTCCCACACGGATAACATGTATGAAAAAGAAAAGTGGTGTATTTAAGATGGAGAGACATGTGGCTATGACATGATGCCTCTCATCAGGTGAGGTATATCAAGCCATAGACACACGTCTCTCAATCTCAATTTTACTTTTGAATATTATAGAACTGTGAAACCGGTAAAGTTACTCTAAATAAATACTTTTTAAAGACTCCAGTTACATTTTCAAGATCTTTTTCATATATATATATATATATATATATATATATATATTCAATTAATTCATCGAGTCTGATAGAAACCTCCACAGAATGCAGGAAGCACTGGACGGCCGTTTCGTCCTATATTTGGGACTCCTCAGCAGTGCGCATCCACTACCGAGAATTGAAACCCTGACAGTTAGGTTGTCAAGCGAACACCATACCAAATGTTCCAAATGGGCCTCGGTGACGAAGAGATTCCAAATCGGACTCAACTTAGCGCCGCTCCCTCACATATTCCGTGGCGGAACTCTACTGAGTTCTCTCTAACCATAGGACTGTGCCCCCTGGAACCACGACTACTCTCACCAAGCCGCTCACTCTAGAGCATTAGAAGCCGGTTCAAGCGATGATAAACACAAACAGTAATTATTGGGAGGATTTGATAATCATATTTAATTAATTCATCGAGTCTGATAGAAACCTCTACAGAATGCAGGAAGCACTGGACGGCCGTTTCGTCCTATATTTGGGACTCATCAGCAGGGGTGGGGGCACAGTCCTATGGTTACAGAGAACTCAGTAGAGTTCCGCCATCAGACTCGATGAATTAATTAAATATGATTATCAAATCCTCCCAATAATTACTGTTTATATATATATATATATGTATATGTAAAGATATTTGTTATGTTTATACATTCTTTTTATAGATACAAATATTTAAGTTAATGCTCTGTTCATAATAAATAGTATTAACAACATTTACTGGCCTGAATGTCCGAGACATTTTCATAGAAAATATGCGTCCTCCGACATGAATCGAACCTGTGTCCTATACGGAACTGTCATATATCCGATTGGGCCACAGAGAAGCGTTCGGTTAGCAAGGTCGATTTTACTGTTTTAAAACACATTTCTCTATGATTTTCTCTCATATACTCATATCTGCTTATGGCATATCTAAATGTAAACAAATGACGTCACACATTATGAAATGGACAAAGTCCGACAATTATTTTTTAAGACATTTTTTTATGTTTATATATATAATAAGATGACTAATTGTAAAAAAAAAGAAGGTTTTTGTGACGCTTTTCTTCAGTTAGTATTTCATTGAACTGGGCTTTGGTAATATTGTCACGTCTACACATGCGCACGAAACGACGGACGCTGATAGTAACAATAGTTTTGAAAGAATCTTTTTGAAAGAATAATTTATTTGTTTGTTTTTTAAGGAATATTTTTCAATCTAGCCAAATTATTTTGTATTCTTTTTCCTTTTTCTCTCCATCACCTTTGTCCTTGACTATCCTACATTATGACAACAGAAAATCTACCAAAATGGCGATATATTGTAAAAGCCCGGACGTAAATTTAAGGAGGCCTAACTAGTGATCAAACCACTTACCAGATATTTTCGTCCTAGTCGATTATTTTCTCTTTTAATCAAAGGTATATTCCCGATATCGAAATTGTGGTCAGTTTCGTCACAGTGAACAACCAATGCGTTCATTTTGAGGATTCTCCAATGTATCCATTCTAACAATTCCTGCTCTTGATACAGTCTTGATTAAGTCTATGATTGGTTTTGATATCGTTTTTTTATTGATTAAATCTTTGATTCGTTTTGATATAGTTTTTTTATTGATTAAATCTTTGATTGGTTTTGATATCGTTTTTTTATTGATTAAATCTTTGATTGGTTTTGATATCGTTTTTTTATTGATTAAATCTTTGATTGGTTTTGATATCGTTTTTTTATTGATTAAATCTTTGATTGGTTTTGATATCGTTTTTTTATTGATTAAATCTTTGATTGGTTTTGATATCGTTTTTTTATTGATTAAATCTTTGATTGGTTTTGATATCGTTTTTTTATTGATTAAATCTTTGATTGGTTTTGATATCGTTTTTTTATTGATTAAATCTTTGATTGGTTTTGATATCGTTTTTTTTTTTTTTTTTTTAAGCGTTCATCCAAAGCAAGGCGGGAAATCACTAGGACGCAAGGGGTTACAGAAGATTTGGAGCAAGATCAGATAGGAGTGATAGAGGAAAGGATGAAGAGAAGGATAGTGGATAGATCAAGGCAACTGGTGAATGTCGATTGACATTAGATTTGAATAGTTGGAGATTATAGCTCTCAGGGAAACTGGAATAAGGAAGGGAGTTCCACAGGCGAGAGGTGCGAGATATGAAGCTATTGGAGTAGAAGAGACGGCTACATTTAATAGTTTCAACAGTGAAAGGGTGGCAGCGGGTTGCCAGATTCGTAGGGCGCTTGGATTCATGAAATCTGGGAACCAGCGAATGCAGCTTTGTTTAGTTTTCTATTTCAATTCTTTTCCGTTGTAGTTGTAATAGTATTAGTAGGTTGAATAATACATTTTTTTTAATTTATTGCGTTTGTCAGGAAGAACAGCTCGTTTCGAATATTTTATGATCCTTTTATTTCGCATTGAATATGAAATAGGATATTGAAGGTTCTTAAATGTATTTTCAATATATTTCTCTTCTTCATGTAAATATTGTGGGCTGCAAATTCAAAGTGCTCTTAAATAGAATCTAATGATCATTCCGGATTTTATTTTGTTGTTATGATGGAAATAGAAGTTTATTAGGTCGTTTTTATTGCTTGATTTTTGGGGGAAACTAAGTTCTAGGCTATTGTCAACTCTGTGTAAGATGATGTCTAAGAAAGTATTTATTTTCTATTTATTATATAAATTCTACTGTGTGTTCAACTTTCCTTAGTTTAACTACAAGATCCGGTAATTTAGTATCACGGGGATATATTAATAGAACATCATCAATATATCGGATTGTTTAGGTAAAATGTTTTGGAAAGAACCAGACTGATGCATACATAGCGTTTATGAAGGAGCATCTTGAGCCGTGGATGAAAAGGCAAGGACTTGTCTTCAGAAGGGCCATTGATTTTATGCAAGATAATGCTCCCTCACATGCTGCTCACAAGACTACTGAATATTTGAAACAGTTAGGCTTTGATGGACCTCAAAAAATGAAGTGGCCAGGAAAATTGTTCGGATTTGAACTCAATATGGCGCCAGTTTGTTTAGATTGCGCAGATCAGTACAAACTTTTCAGTGATTGCGCAGATCAGTGTTGCCAACATTGAGTGAAAATTTTGGGTGAATTGATTGGACGGTTTTTGAAATATTAGAAAAAAAGTTATCTCGATAATAATTTGGCACGCAGTGTATATTATATTGTACAACTATCCCAAGTCAAGTTACGTGTCAACAAAAATACAAAAAATAAATTAAAACGGTTAAATGCATAATCTCATGTTATTTAAAACATATAATAATTTGGCACTCAGTGTATATAATCGTCTTATCGTTCCAAGGAGAGGGGGTTAATATTTTTGCTATGGCTTTATCTATTTTTTGGATGGGGTGCTGCCTATTCGACGGGACACATATTGATACCAGTTTTGTGGTTTATGAAGAGACCGTAAAGTTTTGCTGTACTAGGGCATTATTCTAAGACTCCCTTAAGACTGGTTTCGTGCGCATGTGTAGAAGTGGCAAGATTAATAAAGCACAGTCCGATGAAAATCCTAACGGATGAAAAGCGTCAGAAAAAAAAAAACAAAACTTTTGTCCAATTTCTCATATTATATTTTAAGAATATTCTTTATTGATATATAAAATTATACAAAATTAGATCACGTTAATATATATATATATATATATATATATATATATATATATATATATATATATATACACGTTTGAAATCACATATCTGCATCTTCATTGCTTTCTGTGTACAGGAAATTATACGTTCAATGTAGGTAATAATACCCATCTATCTATCTATCAATCTATCTATCTATCTATCTATCTATCTATCTATCTATCTATCTGTTTAGCCATCTCTTTCTCTCTCTCTCCCTCTCCCCCCCCTCTCTCTATCTATCGATCTCAGTATGTTCACACCTATCTATCCATTTCGGTCTGTTCATTATCTATCTATCTATCTATCTATCTCTCTATCTATATATATATATATATATATATATATATATGTAAAATCTCTCTACTTATTTCTATTCCCGAATATATATGACCACAGAATTTAAAATTTGAATTGTTATGTTTACTGAAGAATACGCTCCCTCTAATTGAAAATGCTAGATCCACTTCTATCTATCTATCTATCTATCTATCTATCTATCTATCTATCTATCTATCTATCTATCTATCCCCCCTCTCTCTCTATATATATATATATATATATATATATATATATATATATATATATACAACAAATCGGGATACCCATTACGACCTATTATTTCTCAGATTCCAACAGAATATACCAACTGTCAGTATATATATATATATATATATATATATATATATATATATATATATAGGAATATTCCATACAAATACACACTGAACCTATATGTATATATATGTACAAGCATACACATATGTGTATGTACACGTATACGCACACACACATGTGTGTGTATGCACTCAGATATCCTCAGCCACATAGAGACTCAAACACACTTTTATATATATAATAAAGTGACGCGCACAAATATTGTTATACGTAATGCGCATGAGCAAATATTGTTATCAAAATATGCATATTCATTAAGGAAGCCTAACGCATGCGCACATGTGCGTGAAACGTTATTTTACATCTAATGGCAATCGCGACATAAAAAACAGGTCTGAAACAACAGTAATAATAAATGTTTCTTTTCAAAATATCTTTTATTTTTTTATTATTTGTTTTCGGTGCTACTCGCTGACCAACTGGACGATGACATTTATTACTTAAACATTGCCTTCATCCTTAAAACTTATCTGTTTCTTCTTAGAGCAGAATTTGCGGCCAGTTTGATGCATTATTGTTTGACGGCCATCTTCTTTTGCGAAGACATCAACTTTTGCTAAGGTTACACGGCCTGTTTATTGTTACTAATCATCTAATGGTGAATATGACTTGTGTTAGTGTTTTTACTTCTTTTAATTTATTTTTTAATCTGCATTTTCGTTGCTATATGCGCTGATTTCTATTCAAGGGATTTTTACATTGTCCTTTGCGTCCCTTTGTCGTGAATTTTGAAAGTGTTCCCATAATTCATCACTATGCAATTTATGGTGAGATTTTAGTTTTTTTTTTTTTTTTCTTTTTTTATATTTTTTCTTTTGTGCACAATCGTTTTGTTTCAATCTTTATTTCGCGGTTTTTTCTTAACGTTTTTCAGTCATTGTTTGTTTGTTCCTTTCGTTTTTATTGCTTATATTATATAGAATAATTTTTCCTTCATTTTTTTCCCTTCCTTTTTTCTTTGATTTTAACCTTTATTCTCTTTTTGTTTTCCTTGTGATTATATTTAATTTTTTTTTTTTTACATTACTGTAATCTATCTTTTCAGTTCTCCCATATATGTTTCTTCTTTCTTTCTTTCTTTCTTTCTTTTTCTTTTCTTTTCTTTCTTTACATTTCTGTCATTCATTCTTACTTTTTCTCTGACATTCGATCTTATTTTTCTTGCTTTCTTTATTGTTCTTTCGTCTTTTCTTTCGTTCGTTTTAATTTCATTCTTTCTTTTATATTTCATTCGATTTTTCATTCGTACATTCTTTGCTCTTTTCTTTCTTTCCTTTACGTTTCATTCTTTGTTATTTGTTTTGCTTTTTTCTGTATTTATTTATTTTGTTCTTTTTGTTTTTATTTCTTTTATGTTGCTTTATATTTTCTATTCTTTCTTTCTTTTCCTTTCTTTCATATTTCATTTTTTCATTCTATCTTTCATGCATTTTCTGCCTATATTTTTGCTCATAAAGAATCTACTTCGTCGTTTTACTTATATCACTTTCGACTTTCATCTTCTTTGTCATATGATCTTTCTTTCTTTCTTTATTTCTTTCTTTATTTTTTCTTTCTTACTTTCTTTCTTTCTTTCTTTCTTCATTCCTTCCTTCCTTGGTTTCTTTCTTTCAATATTTCTTTATTTCTTTATTTACTTCTTTCTTTCTTTCTTTATTTCATTTTCTCTTGCTTTATTTCTTGCTTTATTTATCTCTTTTTATCTTTCTTTCTTGAATTCTTTTGTCATTTTCTCTTTCTTTCTTTCTTTTTTTCATGTTTCCTTGATTTTGTTCTTATTTCTTTTCTTTTTTTCTTTTTTCTTTCTTTCTTTCTTTCTTTCCTTTTTCATGTTTACTTGCTTTTGTTCTTATTTCCTTGCTTTTTTTTTCTTTCTTTCTTTCTTTTTTTCTTTCTTGCTTTCTTTTTTCTCTTTCTATCTTTTTTCATGTTTCCTTGCTTTTGTTCTTATTTCTTTTCTTTATTTTTTCTTTCTTTCTTTTTTCTCTTTCTTTCTTTTTTCCTGTTTCCTTGCTTTCTTTTTCTTTCTTTCTTTCTTGCTTTCTTTCTTTCTTTCTTGCTTTCTTGCTTGCTTTCTTTTTTCTCGTTCTTTATTTCTTCTTTACTTTCTTTCTTTTTTCTTTCTTCTTTTTTCTCTTTCTTTCTTTTTTCATGTTCCCTTGCTTTTGTTCTTATTTCCTTGCTTTCTTTTCTTTCGTTCTTTCTTTCTTTCTTTCTTGCTTGCTTTCTTTCTTTCTTGCTTTCTTTTTTCTCTTTCTTTCTTTCTTTCTTTCTTTATTCTTTTTTTTCTCTCTTTTTTCATGTTTCCTTGCTTTTGTTCTTATTTCCTTGCTTTCTTTTTCTCTCTTTCTTTCTTTCTTTCTTTCTTTTTTCTTTTTCTTTCTTTCTTTCTTCTTTTTTTCTTTTCTCTCTTTCTTTCTTTCTTCTTTTTTCTCTTTCTTTCTTTTTTCATGTTTCCTTCCTTTTGTTCTTATTTCCTTGCTTTCTTTTTCTTTCTTTCTTTCTTTTTTCTTTCTTTTTTCTTTCTTGCTTTCTTTTTCTCTTTCCTTCTTTGTTTCTTCTTTTTTTTCTTTCTTTTTTCCTGTTTCCTTGCTTTTGTTCTTATTTCTTTTCTTTATTTTTTTCTTTCTTTCTTTTTTCTCTTTCTTTCTTTTTTCCTGTTTCCTTGCTTTTGTTCTTATTTCCTTGCTTTCTTTTTCTTTCTTTCTTTCTTTCTTTCGTTCTTTCTTCTTTTTTCTTTCTTTTTTCATGTTTCCTTGCTTTTTTCTTATTTCTTTTCTTTCTTTCTTTCTTTCTTCTTTTTTCTTTCTTTGTTCATGTTTCCTTGCTTTTTTCTTATTTCTTTTCTTTCTTTCTTTCTTTCTTTCCTCTTTTTTCTCTTTCTTTCTTTTTTCATGTTTCCTTGCTTTTGTTCTTATTTCTTTCTTTTACTTTCTTTCTTTCTTTCTTTCTTTCTTTCTTTCTTTCTTACAAGATATAGATTCGATTCCTCTGGAGAACGCATAAACTGGAAATTTCTTATTTTTGTATTCTTACTTTATTCGGATATTTGAAAATTTGATAACAAACTCGATAGTGTCTATCAAATTGTCGATATAACTTGTCTATATCATTCAACCAAACATCTCTGAAATATATATATATATATATATATATATATATATATATATATATATATATATATATATATATATATATATATATATATATATATATATATATATATATATATATATATATATGAAGAAATATAGTTTTAAGTTGTGCTATATTTATGGGATAAAGCGCTCAATATCAGAGATAGAGCGTATGTAAATATAAATATGAAAGTGAATATTGAAGTCAACACTTAGAGGCGACGGGCTGTTTCATGCTAGACGCAATCGTCAGGTCTGACGATTGCGTCCATCATTAAACAGTCTGTCACCTCTGAGTGTTGACTTCAATTCCCTTTATATATATATATATATATATATATATATATATATATATATATATATATATATATGTATGTGTGTGTGTGTGTGTGTGTGTGTGTATTCAAGCATATATTATTAATTATAACAGACTGCGAATGTCTATTATGTTTGATCATAAGCTGTTCTGAGCATCGTATCGTGACTTTAGTTTCAAGAGGAAATAAAGAAAAAAACTGTCAAACATCTGGGTATTTCCTGAAACTAGGGCCTCTATATGTGATCAGATTATCAAAGCTCGTATGTATTTTTACCCGAGTACTTTCGAATGGTGCAACATTCGTTTACAAGTATTGTGTTTTGTGTATGTTTATGTAACGGTTTTTGGTGAATTCCCGTGTTCTATAATTTAAAGTCACTCAAAATAATGCCATTTAAACGATCAAACTCGATATTTTTTATGCTCAGTTAATTCTTTTTTTTAAAATCCAGTGTGGCAGTTAAAATGACGTCACCTTGCGTGACATGAAATTTATTCTAACAAACGTTAAGGCGCGGGAATTAACAAAATAACTTTATATGAAGGTAACAAATCCGTTGGCATATAATCCAATTTGATAGACCTAGCCAATGTGTTATCAATTTTTTCAAATATCCGAATAAAATAAGAATAAAAAAAATTACAGTTTATGCGTTCTCCAGAGGAATCGAACCTGTATCCTATACGTATCGTATAAGAAAGAAAGAAAGAAAGAAAGAAAGAAAGAAGCAAGAAAGAAAGAAAGAAAGAAGCAAGAAAGAAAGAAAGAAAGAAGAAAGAAAGAAAGAAAGAAGCAAGAAAGAAAGAAAGAAAGATGCAAGAAAGAAAGGAAGCAAGAAAGAAAGAAAGAAAGAAAGAAAGAAAGAAAGAAAGAAAGAAAGAAAGAGAAAAAAAGAAAGAAAGAAAGAAAGAAAGAAAGAAAGTGAAAAAGAAAGCAAGAAAGAAAGAAAGAAACAAAGAAAAAGAAGCAAGGAAATAGGAAAAAAAAAATAAGGAAATCATCGTAATATAAAATATTAAAACTGATCCGCAAAAGAGCTCAATGTATTTATTAATTACAGAGCAATATGTTTAATTACCAATAAAATCCAAAATCATACGTCACACACACACACACACATATATATATATATATTTATATATATATATATATATATATATATATATATATATGCACACAAAGACGACCGAAATATTGTTTGCCCTAATAGGCTAACGTGTCTTGCATTTGACAACAACTCTTATTATTCAATGAATTGATAGTAAATTAATGTTTCATTAAGTCTTGTTAACGAAATATTTTCGCCATTAATCATATTCGCATTGCTATTTAATTCTTTGTACAAATTGTTTCTTTATGATGTAAAATATAAGCTGCACAACCTAATATAGTGGTGACAGTGTTTCATGCTCGAACACAATCTACATCCATGTTTAATATTTTAAATTATTTTATAGCCATTTTAAAGAATTGTTTATCAATTGTTCGCTAATACCTCCTTATTTATTACGGATTATAAGCGTATTTTGTATTTATTTATTAATTATTCACTGTTTATTATTGTTATTCATTTTGATTAATTGAGATTATTATCTTACAGTTTATTAATTTGCTTATTGTAATGACAAAAGTACGCGGGTGTAGGCTTTAAGAAATCTTTATTCAAGTGAGAATACAAGGTTCGCATATAGTGTCCTTTTATAGTCTCAGTAAACAGAAATAGCTCTCTCAAAGAGGAGTGTAACAGAACAAGGTCAGACCACTCTTGATTATTCATAATTTCTTTATTTTAGGGTGCTGTTTATCGTATTTGTGGAGTTTAAAATTTTGGCTTTGTTTAAATTAAATTATATTATTTGCTTTGTATATGGAGAATATATTTGATTTCTTCTTAGTGATGTTTTACCAAGGATTCGCATTTGTTTTCGATTTTTAAGTAACGCAGAAGAAAAGTGATTTCTCGCCTGCATTTTCAATGAGAAAGAAAGAAAGGAAAAAGTAAAGAAAAAAGAAAGAAAGGGAAATGTAAAGAAAAAAAGGAAGAAAAAAGTTGCTCCATAAAAGAAACAATAAACTTTGCGCAATAGAAGAAAGAAAATAAAAGAAAGAAAGAAAGAAAGAAGGAAGTAAAAACACTAAAGGAAATTAAAGAAAAAGAAAAAAAATTAAAAAAAAAGGAAACAAACAAAAATAAAGAAAAAGGAAAAAAGAAAGGAATACGAAAGAAAGAAAGAAGGAAAAAAGACGTTTTACGTAGAATAAAGAAAGAACGGAAAATTAAAGAAAAAAGAAAGATGTTCCATAATTGAAAGATCGTCCTGGGTAAGACGTTAAACTCCATCCGCGTCCTGGGTAAGACGTTAAACTACATTCAGCAGCTAGGCCTCTGCTCAGGAGTTTTTTAAGGAGCGTGGAACCACCTCTTAATTGCTGGTGTTCCCAGGTCCACCCTGACCCGGGGTGGTAGCACCTGTTAGGGTCCCAGCTATGGGCAAACAGTTAACTATTACCAGCAATAATTTTGAAAAAAAATTATTAGAAGCAATACAATTTTGAAGGAAATATATTACCAGAAACAGATTTTTGACAATACAAAATATTACCAGCAATAAAAAATTTTTGTCAGCATTAAATAACCCATTGAGGTTGGCATGCCGTAAAACAAAATAAACCAAACCAATCTAAACCAAAGAATACATACTCTAATCTATCCTAAAAATGTTGTTGGTATTAAATAGCACATTGAGGTTGATATGCCGTTAAACAAATTAAACCAAAGCAATCTAAACCAAAGAATACATATTCTATTCATACAAATCTATCCTAAAAATGTTGTCGGCATTAAATAACCCATTGAGGTTGCTATGCCGTCAAACAAAATAAACCAAACCAATCTAAACTAAAGAATACATACTCTAGTCATACGAATCTATCCTAAAAATGTTGTCGTCATTAAATAACCAATAGAGGTTGATATGCCGTCAAACAAAATAAACCAAACCAATCTAAACCAAAGAATACATACTCTGTTCATACGAATCTATCCTAAAAATGTTGTTGGCATTAAATAACCCATTGAGGTTGATATACTGTTAAACAAAATAAACCAAACCAATCTAAACCAAAGAATGCATACTCTATTTATACGAATCTATCCTAAAAATGTTGTCGGCATTAAATAACTCATTGAGGTTGATATAGGGTTAAACAAAATAAGCCAAACCAAACCATAATTGAAAGAAAGAACTTTACATAAAAGAAAGAAAATAGAAAGTAAGAAGAAAGTAAAGAAAAAGAAAGAAAAAACAAAAGAAAGAAAAAACAAAGAAATAAAGAAAATCAAAGAAATAGTGAAGAAAAAAGGAAGATATTCCGTAAGTAAAAAAATAAACTTTACGTAAAAGAAAGAAAGAAAACAGAAAGAAAGAAAGAAAGGAAAGAAGAAAAGGAAGAAAAAGAAAGAAAGAAATAAAAAGGAAAAAGGAAAGAAATAGTGAAGAAAAAAGAAAGAAAGAGGTTCCATAATCGAAACAATTTATTTTACGTAAAAGACAGAAAAAAAGAAAGAAAAAATAAATAAAGAACAATAAAAAATGTTCCATAACTGAAAAAATAATCTTTACGCTAAAGAAAAAAAGAAAAGAAAAATTTAAAAAAGAAAGAAAGACGTTTCACAACAGAAAAAAAATATTTACTTTAATGAAAGAAAAAATAAAAAAGAACGAACGAAAGAAAAAAAGAAATAAAAAAGAAAGAATTATCTTTCATAACTGAATGAATAAACTTAACTTAAAATAAAGAAAAAATAGAAAGAAAGAATAAAAGAAAGAAATAAAAAATAAAGTAAAAAGAAAGAAAGAAAAACTTAACGAATAAACTTTAAATATTACATAACTGAAAAAATACACTTTACGTAAAAGAAAGAAAGAAAGAAGGACATCGTGTACAAAAAGGAACGACAAAGAAAAAGAATATAAAAGTAAAGGAAAAAGAAAGAAATATATTCCACAATTGAAAGAAAATCTTAAATTAAAGAAAAAAGAATGGAAGAGACAATAATAAAAAGAAAGAAAAAAGTAAATAAAAAGTAAAAAGAAAGAAAAAATATATTCCATAACTGAAAAGAAAGAAAAAAGAAAAAGTAAATAAAAACGGAAGTTGTTCCATAATTGAAAGAATAAACTTTACGAATAAGAACGGAAGAAAGAAAGAAAGAAAGAAAGAAAGAAAGAATAAGATAGAAAAAAAGAAATGAAATTGAAAAGAAGTAAAGAAAAAAATCTACGATGTTCCATAACTGAAAGAATAATCTTTGCGTAAAATTAGAAAGAAAAAACATAACTGAAAAGAAAGAAAAAAGAAAAAGTAAATAAAAACGGAAGTTGTTCCATAATTGAAAGAATAAACTTTACGAATAAGAACGGAAGAAAGAAAGAAAGAAAGAAAGAAAGAAAGAAAGAAAGAAAGAAAGAAAGAATAAGATAGAAAAAAAGAAATGAAATTGAAAAGAAGTAAAGAAAAAGAATCTACGATGTTCCATAACTGAAAGAATAATCTTTGCGTAAAATTAGAAAGAATGAAAAATTTAAAGAAAATAGAAAGAAAGCTGTTCCATAATTGAAAGAAAAAACGTTACGTAAAATAAAGAAAAAACAAAGAAAATTAAATAGAAAAGAGAGATCTTCCATAACTGAAAGAATAATCGGTACGTACAAGGAAGAAAAAAGAATGAAAGAAAGAAAGAAAGAAAGAAAGAAAGAAAGAAAGAAAGAAAGAAAAAAAGAAAAGAAAAAAAAAAGAAAGAAAAAGTAAAGAAATAAATAAAGGTGTTCTGTATCAGAAAGAATAAAAGGTAAGTAAAAGAAAGAAAGAACGAAAAATTAATGAAAAAAGAAAGATCTTCCATAACAGAAAAACCAATCATCACGTAAAAGAATGAAAGAAAGAATGAAAGAAAGAAAGACCGGTAAAGCAAAGAAAGAAATAAAGGTAAAAGAAAGAAAGAAAGAACGGTAAATCAAAGAAATAAATAAAGGTAAAAGAAAGAAAGAAAGAAAAAAGAAAGAAAAAAGAAAGAAATGCGGGAGATATTGTGGTGAGTAAATTATCACAATTATGTCTAAATTCGATGTTAGTCCGAGCAAATAATATCCGTCACTCTTCTTAAAAAAACAAAACACAAAAACAAAACAAAACAAAAAAAAAAAACGAATATTTCGAAGAATTGAAATCAGTGTCTGATTTGCTATTATCTTTTCGACTGAGGGGAAAAAAATTGTAAATTGCCCGGCTTAGAAGCAATGATAGTAAAAAGAGTGGGAGAGAAATGAAAAGAACGAATGCTCTCATCGTCGTAGAATAAAGCGAGCAGGTGAGCTGAGTACATCGTTAAAGCCTTTGAACCCTACACTCGCACCCACATCCAATCCCCCGACACTATCACCAATCCCAGAGCGAGCCATTTTTCCATCTAGACAAGGTTCTAATTTATTCCGAATGAAAATCTTTTCGAAGCAAAAGGGCATTATTTTTTTTAATGGAAAATATAAATAACTGAGGCACTTGCAGTTGATATCATTTATTTTAGGCTGACACATCTTGTTTAAAAAGAGACGCCTCCATATGCATGCACTTATCGCTCTCTCGCTCTCTTTCTTTCTCTCTCTCTCTCTCTTTTATATATATATATATATATATATATATATATATATATATATATATATATATATATATATATATATATATGCAGTCAAAAAGTAGGTTGGACAGTAAATGTATATTTGATATATAAAAATATACATTTACTCTCAACCTACTTTTTGGACCATATATATATATATATATATATATATATATATATATATATAATAAAAAGGCTTCAACACTAATATTAGTGTTTAAGCCTTTTTATTATATCCTTACTTGTCCTAGACATTGAGTTCTACCTGGATTCTTCCTCTTGGATTTTTTTTTTTTTCTAAAATATACATATATGGGTATTTATATTTATATATTTTGCATATGTATGTATATTTTCCACTAATATTATCTATCTATATATATATATATATATATATATATATATATATATATATATATATATATATATATAGAGAGAGAGAGAGAGAGAGAAAGAAGGAAGGAACAGTTGAATAGCGGCTTGGATTGAGGAATCGGAGAGCCGTTCGAATTTCCAGTCGAATCTATTACATTCACTTACGCGCTAATACCCTTGGGAAAGATATTAATCCTCCTTTTCTCCCTCCATCAATGTGTAAAATAGCAGGACAGGCTGGGTTCTATAGCCTTGGATGGCAACTGTTCTAGGAGAAGGAAAACTCTGCATTCAAAACCTACGGAGGGTCATTTGGAGACCTTGGAGCACGTATTGAACTAGGTCACTGTATTGAACATTGACGTCATCAGTCATCACTCTCCTGTCGCCTCTGAGTGTTGACTTCAATGTTTATATTTATATTTACATACGCTCTGTCATTGATATTTAGCACTTTATCCCATAAATATAGCACACCTTAAAACTATATTTCTTCACACACACACACACACACACACACACACACACATATATATATATATATATATATATATATATATATATATATATATATGCAAGTCAATATAATCCTTGATGATGGCTGACAGAATAGCCGAAAGCGCACGGATATACAGAACATGTGTACAATTTTTTACACACTTTATGTCCATAAAAGACATCACTTATATGAACTCAAGAAAAAAAAAAAAATATATATATAATTGAGTTTTTTGGCTAGCAGAATCCTCTTTCAGATATATATATATATATATATATATATATATATATATATATATATATATATATAATATAAAATGCTCAAACATTAATATTCCATGGTTTAATTTATTACATTGGAATCGTAATTACGATCCAGTTCATCAGACCTACAAATTCAAAAAGAAATCGGAAAATCTATCTCCGGGTATAAAAAAAAAATATTAATGAGAGTGTGTGTGTGGGAAACAAGTGTGAGAGGGAAATGTATGAAAGCATTAGAGAGAGGTGTATAAAGAAGAAAGAAGAAGAGGAAGGCCAAAACGTGAAGGTGGGGATCAAAATTTAACAGAGAGAAGTTTTAGAAAGGAGTTAAATAACGGTTTAAATGAGTGAGATACAGATAGATATGAATTATTTTCACATGCATAAATCACTACCGAATCGCTGACATAAATTTAAAACTAAAAAGAGACACCGGAAAAGTGGATATATATATATATATATATATATATATATATATATATATATATATATGATAAAAATGAAACATGTTATATTTACAAGCGTTTCCTATTTTAATGTCTAGTGTTAAACTTTAACCTGTAGTGCTAAATCTTTTCTAATTTTTTAGTAACTAATTTATAAGTCCTTCATTTTTGTTGAAAATGTCTCCGAAGAAAAATATTCATGAAACTAAAAGGGTTGAAATCATTTCATTGTTAAAAGAAGGTTTATTCGATGTCAAAATTGCAAGAAAAGTGAAAAGTCCAACAAATGGTGCGGAAGCAGCCATTAAAACATATAAGGAAACCAATTCTTTCAAAAATCATCGTGGTCAAGGACGGAAAAGGGATACAAGCATAAGGGAAGGCAGACTGCTAAAGAGGGTATCTCTAGGTGATAGGGGGAAAAAACGCTTATAACCTTACTGCTGAATTTCAAGAAGCAACAATGTGATATCGACTCGTACAGTGAGACGTAGGTTTGTAGAAGCTGGCTTAAAAAGATGTAAAGTTAGAAAAAAATTGCTGTCTAGGGTTAATAAGAAAAAGAGACTTTCTTTTACAAAAGAGCATGACAATTAGACGGCTGAGGATTGGGTCAAATTTGTCTGCTCCGATGGAAGCAACTTTGAAGTAAGTTCCTTTACTAGTTGAAACTAATTTATTGAGCATAATTGATTTTATTACGCCTATTAATACAGTTCTCTCAACTCTTCTCTATGATACTAAAATTTGGACCCTCTACCACAAGCACATAAATGAACTTGACGCCTTTCACATGAGCTGTCTTCGTGCCATATGTGATATAAAATGGGATGACAGGGTCAAGAATAGTGCAATACTGAAGAAATGTAACACATGCATTGAAACCATTCTAGCAAAGATACAACTTAAGTGGGCTGGTCATGTTGCGAGAATGGGTGAGCATGGGCTCCCAAAAAAAAGGTGCAGTATGGACAACTACCAAACACAAAAGCGTTTAGTTGGACGTCCACACTTACGTTACAAATATAAATTGAAAGACAAATTGAAAGGTCTCAACTTTGACCTGAAAACCTGGAAAACCCAAGCATCAAACCGAAAGGAATGGCGTAAAACATGTTTCATTAAGTTAAAGGGTATTGAAGACAGTAGACTGAAGCACAGTGATTCGTCAAGCTCTGAAGCGGAGAATCCATCAAAATCCTGCTTTAACAAATTTCATCTGTCAGAAAGCACAAATGAAATGTCTTTCCCTTACCTGATTTTCTCCCCAATAACCCCTGCTCGCCTGCATAAGTGCAAAACGAAAGGCACCATCCAATGCTGACCCTTATTTATCGTTCACGATACGAGAGTCCACCATTAATATAGTATCTTTATTGAATAGAAAATTATTCTTTTCGTTTTTCATTCAAAATACTCAAATTTTAGGAATACGTTTTCACAACGTCGCACACGTGACGACGACGTGATCATATTTAAACGGAACGCTGATCTTATAAAAGATTTCAATTATCTGTTTGGATTGGTAATCCTTTTATGTCCATCGTCTTTTTCATGTTGAATTATATATGGTCTATGTTAATTATGTTTTATGAATATGTCCTGAAGATGGTCTATTAGACCGAAACGTCCGCATAATCGCATATTTGGATTTCTGTTTGTTTTTTCAGTATATTTTTCTTCATACTTTTGGATCTATATCCATATATTTGCTTATATATATATATATATATATATATATATATATATATATATATATATATATATATATATATATACACGTTTCATTAAATAATATAGACAAGTGTTGTCTATTTATTTTATGTAAAAATATTTCGTATCTTCTGATAAGTTTGATAAGATTATCATTAACCGAAAAAAATTCACAATATTTATCCATTATTTTTTAATATAATCTAAGCTTTCGATTTGCAAAAAACCAACATAGTTTATAAATTCAAATTGCCCTTTGGGAGAGTGTATCTCCAACGAATTAAATAATATTTATGTTGGTCACACCACAAACTCGCTTTCACGACGCTTGACACTACATTTTAATGAAAACTCAAACATTTTTAGGCATTTAAAACAACATGCCTGCCCGCACACACAATTCCGTAAAAATACTTGTCGAAAACACAACTATACTTCGACATGAAAACAATAGACAAAAACTAAAAATACTTGAAGCATTATACATCAAACAGTTAAAACCCAACCTAAACAAAATCAATTATGGCATCTCTACAAATATTCTTAAATGTCTATAATTTCTATAATTGGTAACAGAAGCCATTGGTTTATACCAACGGCTTTCCTTATTTCATTCTCCAATTCACTCTCGTGTAGTCATGTGTGACGTCATGAGATGCGGTGCGATTTTCGCTTCTAGCGTCTTATATGCGCGTGTTCATCGTTGCTTAGTGATCCACTATGTAAACTAAACAATGACACACTATCATCACTGTCGTGTCCGTATATTGTTTGATATGTTTGTGATTTATATCTTTGATAATGGCCTGAGTAAGCCGAAAGCTTAGATTATATTAAAAAAAAATAATGGATAAATATTGTGAATTTCTTTTTTCGGTTAATGATAATGTTATCAAACTTATCAGAAGATACGAAAAAATTTTACATAAAATAAATAGACAACACTTGTCTATATTATTTAATGAAACGTGTATAAATGAAAAGATGCTGCCTAAATACACACAATATATATATATATATATATATATATATATATATATATATATATGTGTGTGTGTGTGTGTGTGTGTGTGTGTGTGTGTGTGTGTGTGTATGTGTGTGTGTAACTCTTATTCTTTTATTTTATTTCTTTTCTTCTTTTTTCGCTAACAGATAGAGGTGAATAGTACAAAACGCATTAGTGTATTCGCACCTTGCTTTAAAAATTTACTCTGCAGTGAATATTTAAAAGGCAAACATTGATATTAATTATTTCTTATTCTTTTTCGCATTATTATTATTATTATTATTATTACGAGTAGAGATACATATATGGCTTGCGTGCATCGCACTAATTATTTTTAATTTTTCCTCTGATTTAAAAAAAAAAAATCGTTTCCCGCACATTCGTTAACCCTCCCCCACCACATC